CAGTGCCCAGGCCCAGAGTTCAAGCCCCATGACCAACCAAAAACAAAAACAAAAATTTGAGTGCCAGGAACAGCTACAAATTCAATCATTAATACCAATGATAGCCCTGCAAGACTGACTACAATAATCTCTACTTAAGAGATGTGCAAGTCTGGGAGTTTGCCCTAGTGGTAGAGTGTATGAAGCCCTGGGTTCAATTCCTCGGTACCACAAAAACAGAAAAAGTGAGGAGTAGTACTGTGGCTTAAGTGGTAGAATACTTACATTGAGCAAAAAAGCTGAGGACAGTGCCCAGGCCCTAAGTTCAAGCCCCAGGACTGGCACAAAAAAAAATTGACTTTGATCATTTTAATCAATATTAATTTTTCTCTTCCCTATACAGTCTATTTTGAAATCTTAACTGTAGTACTTATCTCTCAGGCCCTGCCTTTTCCCTCAAGTTTTATCTAGCTCTTTCACTTAGTTAGAAGACTCTCCAGGGTGGGGATTTTTATGTGGAAGAGGATGTCTACTGTATCACCAAATCACTTATTTCCCAGTGTTGGTTACAGTTGGTTATGTTCATAGCACTAAATTCTGACTAGCTGTATATAGGCAGTGATTATGTCATTTCTAAGCCTGACCTGATAAAACCTCAACATTAGTCCCTACATTTGCCCACTTTATCTGTGAGCTGATTTAGAAGATTGAGCAGAAAATTTTGAGGCCTTCTGCTCATCAAAGAGTGCACCTTCCCCCTTCCCCAACCTTCATTAAATGGGGGCAGTAGTTAGCTCACCTGAACTAAAATACCATACAGTTATGTTTCTTTATGCATGTAAAATATTGTCTTGTTGTAAGGCGCCGGTGACTCACGCCTGTAATCTTAGCTACTCAGGAGGCTGAGATCTGAGGATTGCAGTTCTAAGCCAGCCCAGGCAGGAAAGTCCATGAGACTTATCTCCAATAAACCACCAGAAAACGGGAAGTGGCACTGTGGCTCAAGTGGTACAGTGCTCCCCTTGAGCTAAAGAGCTGAGGGACAGCACCCAGGCCCAGGGTTCAAGACCCACAACCAACAAAAATCAATTAATTTAAAAAAATATTATCTTGCTTATAGTGCTCAGTAAATATTTACTGAAGTTTAATTTAAAATTCTTATTCTGTGCTTGGTTCAGCAGCACATATACTAAAATTGGAATATACAGAGAAGATTAGCATGGCCCCTTTGCACAGGATGACATATATACTCATGAATCGTTTCATATATATATATTTTTTTTTTTTTTGGTCAGTCCTGGAGCTTGAACTCAGGGCCTGGGCACTGTCCTTGAGCCTCTTTGTGCTCAAGGCTAGCACTCTATCACTTGAGCCACATTACCACTTCTGGCTTTTTCTGTTTATATGGTACTAAAGAATCAAACCCAGGGCTTCATGCATGCTAGGCAAGCACTCTACCACTAAGCCACATTCCCAGCCCTCATTCCATATTTTTAAATGGTTGAAGCTAGAACAAATCATGTTACATAAAGTAAGCTAGGCTCACAGAAACAAATAGTGAATGTTTTCTCTTATATGTTCAAGCTAGATCTCAAAGTACAACTATTCATGATAACATATACAGGGCTCAATGCATTTATACACAAACAAATTGATTAAAGGAAGGCATACTTAGGGGAAGAATCCAAAGGCATAACTCCTCTGAACTACTAAAATACTGTTTATCAAAATGAATACTAGGAAATGGAAACATGTTTCTTTGGGGGGAAAATGGGGGAACACAGGAATAGAGGGAGGAAAGGTGAACAAATATAGTCATTATATTCAATGTACACTATGTAAAAAATGAACAATGTAATTGGAAGGTAGGGACAAGAGGGAGAAAATGGCAGAGAATAAAGGAAGCAGTAACATTGTCAAGAAGCACTGTACTAGGGCTAAGAAGGTGGCTCAGTGGTAGAGTGCTTGCCTCACATGCATGAGGCCCTGGGTTTGATTCCTCAGCACCACATAAACAGAAAAGGCCAGAAGTGGTGCTGTGGCTCAAAGTGGTAGAGCACAAGCTTTGAGCTGTAGAGCTCAGAGACAAGCCCCATGACCAACAACAACAACAAAAAATAAGCACTGTACTCACAACCTAACTTATAGAACTATAATCCCTATATAATATTAATAATATTCAATTTAAAAAATCTTATTTCGCCAGGCACTGATGGTTCACGCCTGTAATCCTAGCTACTCAGGAGGATAAGATCTGAGGATTATGGTTCAAAGCCAGCCCCGGCAGGAAAGTCCATGAGACTCTTATCTATAATTAACCATCAGAAAACTAGAAGTGGGGCTGTGGCTCAAGTGGTAGAGCACTCGCCTTGAGCTGAAGAGCTGAGAGACTACTCAGGCCCAAAGTAAAGACCCACAACTAAGAAAACAAAATTTTTTTAAATTCTTATTCCATGTGGCTTAGTGGTAGAGTGCTTGCCTAGCATGCATAAAGCTCTGGGTTAGGTTCCTCAATATCATACAAATAGAAAAAGCCAGAAGTGGTGCTATGGCTCAAGTGGTAGAGTGCTAGCCTTGAGCAAGAATGTCAAGGACAGTGCTTAGGCCCTGAGTTCAAGACCCAGGACAGGCACAAAAAAAAAAAAAAGATTTTTCTTTTTTTTTCTTTTTGGTTGGTCATAGTGCCTGAACTCTGGGCAGAGGCATTGTCCCTTAGCTCTTTAGCTCAAGGCTAGCACCCTACCACTTGAGCCACAGTGCCACTTCTGGTTTTTTCTGTGTATATGGCGCTGAGGAATTGAACCCAGAGCTTCATGCATGCAAGGCAAGCACTCTACTACTAAGCCACCTTCCCAGCCCTAGAACTTGTATATAAAAAGAGAAATTTAGCTTTATTAATATTTAATTATGAGATAATAGTAGCACACACATGGGGATATGCTCAAAAATATTCCCTACCCATGACCAACCAAAAAAAAAATGTTCCCTAAAGGGAAATTATGGTCATAAATGACTGCTGGTTCCCAAGAGATACCTTATCCTAATCCCTAGAACCTGAAAATGTTATGTTAGAAGGCAAGGGAAGGCCTGGAGATATAGTTTAGGGTAGATCACTTGCCTAACATGTGTGGGACCCTGAGTTTGATCCACAAAAAAGAATAAAATCCAGGGGCCAGTGGTTCATGTCTATTATCTTAGCTACCTGGGAGGTTGAGACCTGGTACACTGAGGTTTGAAGCCAGATTAGGTAGAAAAATCTCTAAGACTCCATCTCCCACAAAACAGAAAAATGCTAGACTGACAGTATGGATCAAGTAGTAGAGCACCTGACATGAGCAAACAAGTTATATAAGAACCTGATACCCTGGAATTCAAGCTCAGGTACTAGCACCAAAAAACCTAAATAAGGGGCTGGGAAGGTGGCTCAGTGGTAGAGTGCTTGCCTTGTATGCATGAGGCCCTGGGTTCAATTCCTCAGCACCACATAAGCAGAAGAAAAAAAAGGCCGTAAGTGGCACTGTGGCTCAAGTGGTAGAGTGCTAGCCTTGAGGTGAAGAGCTGAGGGACAGCGCCCAGGCCCAGAGTTCAGGCCCCACGACTGGACCCTCCACCCTCCGGAAAAAAAAAATAACTAAATAAATAACTGCAAAGAAAACAATGAAAATTAAACAGGTAAGTGTGGTAGCACAAATTTATGCCAACTCTTGGGAGTCAGAGGATTTTGAGTTTGAAGCTAACCTGGGCTACATAGCAAGCCACTCCCCAAAATATCTGCCAAAAAAAAAAAAATGAAAGGCAAGAGTGGGCAGAAAGAAAAGAAAAAAGGAAGGAAGGAAAGAAGGAAGTTGCTGGTCAGCTGACTTAAAATAGGAATATTATCTTGGTTTATGAAGGTGGAGTATTGTGATTACCCAAGTCCTCGTAGGAAGAAGACAAAGAGTATCTGAGTGATGCAATATGGGAAAGATTCAAGCTGTCATTGCTAGTTTTGAAGATAACAAGGAATGGGAGCAAAAACTAGCAGCTGACAAAAGTAAGTCCTTACCTTTAAAAAGGACTGTAGCTCTGTGGACACAATGATTTTACCCCGAACAAACCCCATTTCAGACTTCTGGAGCCAAGAGAAAACTAATAATGGGTACATAAAAATTTTTTACTGGGTCACTATCCTGTGTTATAATGTTCACAGATGTAAGATAGGCTTTAGGCTTATACTCTGTATAAACAGGCACAAGGAAAGTAACATTAACGTGTTCCTTTGTGGCATCCATATTCAGCTAGTCAAATATTTATTGAACTAACAATTCTATATAAAGCTCAGAGGCAAATATTTAAATTGAAATGTTGGCTATCCCCAAAAGTTTATTATCTAAACAAAGATAAAAGGAAAGGTGAAACAGCAATCTAAAATATATCTAGCTATCTTCATTCTCATTTGAAAAAAAAAAACTAACCAACAACCAAACATATAGACAACATTACCACTGTTAGACATGGATCTCCTCAAGACTAAAGAACAACACTTAATAAGAAGAGTTCTATGACCATTATATCAAAGGTGTTAATAAAACGATCATTACTGCTTGCCTAACAAGGATCTGAAAACTGTGCTACATGCTTTATATTTACTACCTGTTGACAAAGATTGGAAAAGCTATGAGAATTTGAATGCTTAGCTCCAAAGACTATGTTCAATCCTTTGATAAGTAAGGAAGAGAGCTTGGAAGGTGGCTCAGTTGTAGAGTGCTTGCTTTGCATGCATGAGGCCCTGGGTTTGATTCTTCAGCACCACGTAAATAGGAAAAGCCACAAATGGCACTGTGGCTCAAGTGGTAGAGCACTAGTCTT